TTATTTATTTATTTATTTATTTATTTATTTATTTATTTATTTATTTATTTATTTATTTATGTTTTAATTTATTTATTTACTGATATATATATATATATTTTTTTTTATATATTATTTATTTATTTTGGTCTACTATCAATATTAATAGCATTAGTGGGGTAGTAGAAGTAGGTTGCACCCCATTAGAACTGGCTGGGCTTATTACAGTACAATGTTATGTATAAATCAGTTGCATACACCAGGACACGAGCAACATGTGGGATAAATCCCATCCCATTACCAACTTTGTGCAATGAGGGGTACAACACAATCAAGAAACTCTCCTATAACCATCAAGAGATCCAATTGGACAAGATATCAACTATGATGGTGTTGCAAAAATGCTATTTCTTTCTATTTTGCAGGAAAAGGACTTGCAACTTTCTAAGAAGATTTTACTTTAATGATCATGATTATTAACTGACCCATGGTTGTCCTGCCCAGAGGGCTGAGAAAGTACTTAAAAATTTTTGGCAGACAATTAAAAAAAATCTAAATCAATGTATTTCAAGTCTTTTTTTGAACCACCATATCAAATATAAATGTGTTTGTGTTCAAAACAGAATGTTAAAAAGCGAGCAGCACTCATTCTTGTGGCCCCAAGCAAAACATGACTACTACACTGGGTTTCTGGGGATTCTCTCTTTCTGTTTCATATGATGGCGAATGAATGATCCCTAGTATCGATCTGTTGCTGTGATACTGGATAAAATGATGTGGACTAAAAACAAAACATAGCTCCCACATTACATATCTGTTCTTACTCTCTTGATTCAGAGCTACAAGCACTTTTCGGATGGTTAAAATAGATTCAGTGAGGTTAAATATCCAGCCTGTTTTGCTATGTAACATGCAATAGGACAGACATAGAAAAGTCTGAGAAAATCCATCTTGACTCGTGTGTTCATTGACTCAGGCAAACCAAACCCACAAGACTTCTTCATTCAAACAGGTGTGTGTGTTGCCTTTGTTTGAATTGAGATCAATAAATTTTCAAAATACCCACTTTCACTTTAACTCTGCCTTAAGAGCAGATGTTTAAAAGACATTGTGTACTATTTTAAGTATTTGCTTAGCGAAAATAATTTTCCTTATTTATAAATGTGTCCTCCTTTGGTGTAAAATTACCTCTCCAATGACCTGACTTCTCCTCATAAGCGAAACATTTCCTATCTGTATATATATATAGGACCGGTAAGTCCGCGGAGGTTTCCATGTCGTTCCGCCATTTTGAAAAACTATAGTCGTAGGGAGGGACATAAAGCACTAGTCTACCTGTCTAGCTAATCCACAACGGGTTTTCGTTCAGAGCCAGAGTCACGTGACTGAAACCAGCAATAAGTCACCTCTATGCTGGTCACTACCCGGGAAAATTTGATATCTTGCATTGCACTTTAGTCCATAATGGAGGATCATACTTATGCCGAGCCACAGGAGAAGGAATCGTTGTCGGCAAAAAATGGAAAAAGGGAATGTTAAAAGCAACTTGACCTGTAAATTTAAAAAAATTATGCATGATCTACCGTAGTTGCAATACCCATTTGAAAACGCGAGGCGCCAGAGAGCACGATTTGTTAGAATGCAAAATACAATTTCACCGTTAGATGGGAGAAATTCCTACATGTGTACATTTAAAAAATAAAGAAATAAATAGCTGCATCATACTCACCGGCTACAGAGAGGAGAGTCCAGGTGCTATTTCGCACCTCGTCTGTGGGTTTATCGAGTAAGAGAATTCGACACTCGTACAAGCCCTGGTCGTCCAGCTGCAGGCGCTCCAGCCTCAGGTTTGTGAGTCTCACCAGAGATACTCGACCTACAGAGACCGGTGCAGAAAAAGAATTGACGGGGGCAGATGCGAGGAGAACAAACGGCACATAACGCTTATTTCACTTGACATCTGGCTGGTGTGTGTGACGCCTTTGCCGTGCTGAAAAAATAAGCAAAACATCCCCAAATGCTGCCCAAAAATGGCCTCACGGGCACTGACAAGCACACAAACCCTGCACGCATGTGTGCACACACACTCAGAAATCTGATCTCCTGGTTGCCAGGTGACGGCTCCCTCGAGCCACTTGCCTTTATCTTTTCCAGTCTACACCTTTACGACTGCCCATCTAGTTTTCACACTTTAACAAGCACGCATTAGTCCGGCCACCCAACAGCAAGGGACACAACATGGGCTGAGGAGACCCTGTCAATGCAAGGTGAACGAAAGCTTTCGGGACACCGAGACTTCTCTCAGAGATACAGTACAAACGTTAAGGCAGGGAACACACCGCAGCATGCCTCAGTCCACAGGGACGCCTCTGTTGTGACGGTAATTATTAACAAAGGCTCTGAATTCTAGTGACTGTGGCAGAGAGGGGGACGGGCCTGAAAAGGGGAAAGTGAAAAAAAAAAAGATCCAGGAAGTTGGAATTTGGTATGCCGGCAGCGATAACACACCCTATTTGCTTTTCCACGCCACCAAAGGGGACTAAATCCACAGGAGGAAATGAGACGTGGGGGTGACGGTGGAGCAAAAATACACATCAGCATGCACTCAGGGGGATTAGCACATTTCAAAATCCTGCCCTTTGACCCTCAGCAGTTTTTTTTCCCCCTCTCTTATGTTCATTGCCTTAGTGCAATTCGGGTCACTATGACACCTTGCTGGAAAGCTTGTGCTGAGGCAGGGGATGTTGTTGGAACGAGGTATCAGAGTGTCATCAGGTAAAATGGGAAGGGAGGGGCGGAAGGGAGGGAGGGAGGGAGTAAAAGCATGACCTAATGCCACAACTGCTGCCGTTTGAAAAATGCATGATTGCAGGAGATTTGAGTGCAAGGTGAATTTAGAGTGAGGTTAGGCACACGGGCTTGAGCAAAAGTCCTGAGCCGCTTTATGAGTTCTTCTCTCATTACCTGAAAAGAAATCTCCCAGGTTAGCCCTGTCTGTCATCTGCTAGTTTTTTTTCAGCCACTTCTTTCTTTGTCCCCCACTTGAGAAGTTTCCCAAAGACGTTTAAAGACACACTGCACAAGATGTGCCAGGTTTTCAACTAACAGCTCTTAAGGAAGATGATTGTAAGTGCAAAGAAACACAACTAAAGAAAAAGGAAAAAAATAACATGTCCCTGGGACTAGAACAACAATGACTTTATCAACATTTCTGCAATGCCTTTTATGCTTAAGTGACTCTCAATATAGCATAAAATGTTTTAAATTTCTTTTCCAAACTATGCTTCAGAAATTCTCAGGTAAAAAAGCATACTGAAAATGAAAGACAACGCGATCAGTTAAAATAAAAAAAACCTTTTGAAAGACGGAGTCTGTCCCATAGAGCAGCCACATTAATCATTTTAGAGTAAAACCTGTAACACTGTTCCATGTAAATGCAATTTTGAGGCCTTGTAACCAATGATCACATAGGAATGTGATAGGAAGCTTTCTTTAAACCGTGGCCCTGATCTAGTCCTTAAACCAAGAAGGGAGAGAAAATGCTTCAGATCAAATCAACCAGCAACTGAATATGAAAATGAGAAGCACAGCTACACTAACGTTAACTCTGGGACTTTAAGACAAAACTAGCATAGTGAAATGGACTAATCTGTCTAATGTTTTTTATGTAACACTGGGTTGTAATTATTGGTATTGGTAAATAAATATATATTATACTTTCTCACACACGCCACATCATCTGCGTGTAGTTATTTGCCCTGCTCATGTCTGAAACCCTAAAAAGAACTGTGTATGCATGACTGGCAAGGGTTAGTGTTTCATAAGATCACCAATAAATCACAAATGTAGTAAAATAGGGAAGGTCGAGCTTTGCATAGCTGATGCAAATCAGAGAACAGCGCTTCCATTTACTTCTTCACTCTCATACTGCTCTATAAAAGAAAACTATTTCTAACAAGGCTCAACAAAGACTTTGAACGGTTTAAATGTGTACTTCACATCGAGCTGAAGCACTGACATTTGTTGAAGAATTTCCACTTAGCCTAAACTCAAATATAGTTTAACTTATTGAACTTTTTCTTTGTACATTTTAATAAACACAATAACTCTCTGGTAAAACGTCTGTTCGGTGGTGCAAAACGACTGGGTGGGTTCTGTTGAAACCTCTTGCTACGACTTTGCTTCAAATTCTAAATGTAAGTCATTTCTGACCCTATTTGCCTAATTGCTGCAAGACGGCCTGAAACTTATCCTTACAATTAACATCATCAGCCCAAACCAACAACAATAACTCCTCAACCTGCCATTGTTCTGCTCTATACACCCACAAATTTAAATTTTAAAAGTGTTTAAAAGTGAAGCTTTGCAGGGTTTTTCCCCCATTCAACCTAAAACAACCTTTTCTCTCCCTTCAGTTTTGCACCACACACACACACACACACACATGACCGCACACAGTCACACAATGCCTTCATTTGTCAAAAAGGCTACAACCGAAGGCCCCCTAAAGGCTTGGTGCTTTAATACACTCTCAGGTGACACTAAAACACAAAAACACACAGGGTCATGATGAAACACAACTCTGAACAAATAGAAGAATTCAGTGTAAAAACAAAAAGTCTTTTGAGTTTGAATTAAAGAGGCACGGATTACTTAGATGATGCACTCATTATCTCTTTTAAGCAACGGTTTGTCAAAGGAAGATGAGGAGCTTTTCCCCACTGATGGGAACTTATTAAAAAGTATTCTCTGTTATTGAAGGTGGATCAAGAAGCAGTTGGAATCTAAATCGTTTACAGCGTCTTTGAAAAACATCCCTAAAGTCATTTCAGCCAAGTAAACTCAAAGGAACTGAACCTTAATCTGCTGCAGTCTTTCACTCTGCAGCTGATAGTTTCCTGTTTCAAATTCACCAAATTTTCTACCCTACACCTTTATTAACCCCTCTGGAAAAAAACTTTTTCACAATTTCCCTCTTATAAGGTCAGGCTGCTCGTCCTCTAAAGAGCAGGGATATTGCTCAGGAAACTGAGCATTTGGAATGCCACGGTATGTGCTTTTTCCATTTTATTCAGAGTGAAAGATGCACCAGAGGTATTGATTTCCTTTCCGCCAAAATGGATGTGAAACATTTTGGAGATGAAGTTTTCAAATGATCTATATGGGGGGGAAAAGTCTTTAAGGGAATCATCTGCAAAGTGTCTTGTTTGGTTTGACAGGAAGCCGTATGAAGAATTATTTAAATTCAATACCATTTTGTGCAACACGGACGTTTATGCCCCTGAAAATGGGATGTTCACGGGCAGCCAGCCCACATCATCTTTAAGAGATGCCGTCAGCTCTTGGCAAGAAGCGGAAAGGTGTTTCGGGTTTCGGTAAAAAAAGAAAGAAGCAGATAAGGTTTCACTGCTGGCCGCTTGTGGCTTTACGAAGCTCTCCTGTGTCATTGTTTGAAATTTGAATTGAGAAAGCTGTGTCGCTGTCAAGGGGGGCCTGCTCGCTGCTATGAGGAACATGAGTAATCCCAGAGCAAGCCCTCGTATTTGTCCACCAGGGAAGGGAAGCAGATTAGACTGTTTTAACTGTGAGTAACATGTTATTCATCGCATGCGGACCGATGGTGGAGGGATTTATTTGAAAAGAGCTCGGGAGTAGTGCATTTTTTAAAGCTGTATTAGCTTTTACTACAGTCAGCAGATGCATAGGTGCTAAGGGAGCAGCAACAAATCCTTTGATCTTTGGCTCTTTTACAACAAATACTTTCAAATCCCTGTTAGCCATTAATGATCTCAGCGGAGCGCTCCGAGTCAAATCAAATGCATCTCCCATTAATACGAGCGGCGTATATATATGACCCAAGGAGAGTTTGATCTATTCGAGGCGGAGCAGAAGAAAGAAACGATTAAATAAAAAACAATGAGCCTCAGCAGAACCAAAATGCTGGATGAGTAGGAAGTTGGAATCACTGCAGCAAAAAAACAACAGGTTGAAGTTTTGCTTCTGAAGCCAAACTGCTGAGACACCTGAGAACGCTTGCAGCCCGAGGGGGGGTGAAATGCACACCGTGTATAGCGGCTCAACAGCTTTAGTTTCCCGTGCTGCACCTGTTACCAACAGACCAGTTTGTAGCGTCGGATGGGACAAAGCATCTTTCTCGAAGCTTTTGTACCAGTCAAGGAAACGGCTTTCCGCCTGTCACCGGAGAGGCATGTGATTAGCATGCCTGTCCTTTAAAAAGATAGTCCTCCTCTGTTTAGGACATTTTTTGGCAGATTAAAGTGCTCAAACAGTGTAATTCATGAGACAAAGGGTAGGTAAACCACCGGTATATCACCCTGTTTCCTTCTAAACTCACACCTAGAATGATAGTGTGTGACATCGATGTATAGCAGGAAGAGTCCTCTGAGTCAGCACCAAGAAAAAAAAAAAAAAGCTCTATTCCTTTATGGGCCTGGACTGGAATTAAAGTCTGTCTTGCTCCCACTTACGACAATACATCAACGAGGGTTCGCTCCGTCTTTATCGCTACGTAAATGTCAGTATCACATTTTCTGGTTGGACCGGCTTGGGGGAGTAGCCTCCCACAAATACGAGAAAGGCTTTTGACTCAGCCAAAAAAGCAGGTTCTGATCCCTTGACAAACACAGAGCGAAGTGCACAGATTACAGCTTGCCGCTCTGTGTTTGATTGAACAATTCATGCCATGCCAGTCGCGTCGTTTCATTGTAATGCGACGCGTTGGAGGATGAAGCTGGCAACACTTTAGATTTGACTAATTACAAGCTTAACATATAAAAAGGAGCACAACATGCATGTTCATCCACCTTTAAAAGTCTCAGTCTCAGGAACAACTTGGGTAACTAGAATGGTTGAAGCTAACTCTTTTTGGCAGAAGTTTTTTCAGAGGAATTTGATTTTACATAAAGAGCATTTTTTTGTTTTTAGTGTTCACAGCTTGTATCATTTTTTCTTTTATGGATAAATCAACATCATCTATCAATTTCTAATATAGGAGAGATAGGAATGAACCGCTCAATATGGAAATGAATAAATTGTAGAGGGCGCCTGACAGAAAGAGGTTTCTGGGTTCAAGTCCCTGGGGGAACCAGGACCTTTCTTTGTGGAGTGTGCATGTTCTCCCTTTGTCTGAGTTGGTTCTGTTCAGGTACTCCACCTTCCCCCAACATCCAAAAACCTGCATGTTAGGTTGATTGGACATTCCAAATTGCCCTTAGGAGTGAGTTTGCATGGTTGTTTGTACTTGTGTGTCTCTGTGTGGCCCTCAAATGGACTGTCCAGGGTGTACCCTGCCTCTCGCCCATTGACCACTGGGTTAGGCTCTAGTTCCACCCATGACCCCATCAGGGAATAAGCGGTTACAAAATGGATGGATGGATGGATAAAATGTAGAAATAGAAGAACAAGGACTTTTTAGCATCTAAAATCCTTCAACATTATAAAAGATGTAGAAGAAAAAGGTAATTGGTAAGCAACTTCTCTTTCCCCCTGAGCCACAACCACCTGGCTTGTTTTCAAAGCGGATCACACCATTTCTATTTCTGACATAAGATTATTTTTGAAAACAGAGAAAAAAAAAAGAAAAATGTGCAGAGAAATTCCCATAACATCAAAGTGAAATGTACATTCACTTATCTTAGTCCGACTCTACATCAACCTTCTTTTCATCCCATTCAGCCTTATGGTTGCCGAAACAGTTCAAACCCATTACAGTCAAAACATTTGAGGCGTTTCTTTCAGTCTCTTCTTCCGTCATTTTAAACGCATTTCCCCAGACGTAACTGGGGTCTGTGGAACCTCAGTCGGAATTCAAAATTAATTTGCGTGGGCTGGAACAGTGTTTAGCTGCACGGCAAGTAATGACTGATGCAACAGTGAGTAAGAGGAAAACTAAAAGTTTAGCCTTAGCAGTAATTAAGCTAAATAGGGTCTTCTGCTGCCATATATAACCAATCACTAGTAAAGTAGATGAAAATAAATAGGGGTTAACCCCATAATATAACTCAGAAGCCTGTTACGTCCAACCTGAAATTAATAGCTCTCTTTGAAGCAGCTTCTCAAAGCTACTTCTGGCTTGTTCATTCCAAAGCACTTAAGTCATAATTCTGTCTGGTGCTCCAGCAGAAACTCGAACATCCTGCAAAATAGTCTTTAGGTGGAATACGTCCATAGGCATCTTTTTTTGGGGAAAAGAAAAATGGCTCGGACAAAAGGAAGATCTGAACCACCCAGACATGGTTTCTTTTTGTCCACATTTGTTCCTTTGTTGACTTTAAAGGATAACAGAAGCCACACAAAGGTAGTCTTACCCTACTGAGGATCTTTTTTCTTTTTTTTCTTTTTTGCCACAGACCTTCTTTGTTCTCTGAGCTGTGGGCAGAAAGTGCACAATGGACGATGATGCAACGTGAGAGTTTCTGTGGCTTTAAAACAAGTTGGTTTGAAAGGCCGTCGAGGTGTGCTTTTGATTAAACTCAGAGACCCAGATACTGGTTACATCTTCACAGCAGAAAAAAGCTGGAGCCCAGGCTAACGGCTCTCAATCTCATACTTTGAAATTGGGCCTTTTATTTCTACTTTCTTTTGAATTAATAATTATGGGGGGGAAAAAATCTTTTTACTTTATATTCTGTATTGCTTTCCTGATGCACAAAGTTCGCACAGAAAGATTAAAATGAGAACACTGTCAAAAACCTGAAGGTTACAACTAAGATGAATACTGATTATCTTTTAGGGGACACAATGATATGTGCAAAACCACCAGCAAACAAACAACGAAACCCAGCTCATTCTAATTCAGTCAGACCAACAATACGGCTGTTCCTATGGATGTAAAAAGAACCACACCTGCTTTCACTGCTGTATGTACCAGAGCATGGTATAAATTAAATAATAACTCATCACATCTAACTGGATAAATTCTTCAATTTCAGTTGGCTTGGCAAAAGTAAACAAAGCTGCAGAATCCATGTGTTAAAAGCTATCTACTGCTTGTAGATAAACTGGAAAAAAAAAATTCAATTTATTCAGGTTTATTCGATTTTTTATGCACAGTTTTTCTAATTTGATCTTGGACTAACTGTTCTTTTTCAGCCATTCTGGGATAATCATCTATTTTTCTATATACAGTCCATGTTAACCTCAATGACTACAATGTTTTTGGGTCATGTGGTCATAAGACTAGCCAAAATTATCTTGACAAAAAGTCTTGACATTAAATATGAAGTTTTTGTGCTGATATGGTCAAAGGATATTGTTCCAGTCTTTGTGGTTTCTTGACCCAAAACTGTGCTGTGCTGCCATGCTATTTCCAAAGACAAGAGGCTTCTTAGTAAAACCTCTTCCTGTGAAGCCATACTTGTTTAATCTTTTTCCAATTGTCTGCAACAAAGGTAAACGTCTTTTGATTTTTTTTAACAGTTCCTCTGATGATATTTGTGTTACATATGCTCCACAGTTGCTTTTCTCATATTATTGCAGATATGTTTGCATCCATGGTACTGTGTTAACACACCTGAAGGTTACAGACCAATAAACTGACAAAATGATCTAATAAAATGCATTGAATTAGCTGACCTGGGTACTAGATATCCTCTTAGCACAGATGAAAGCAGAGAGGATGGTTTGATGACAGGCCCATGTCATGCTGAGGTCATATTTATCTACATTTAAAACCTGATAAGGAATAGATTTTCTTTTTTTGTCCAGATGTGTATGTGTGAACCCTTGAAACTGAACAAGGTGGTCGTTCTTCTTCAAGGCAATTGGATGAAAGCCTAACGGTGTTTATTTAAACTTATTTGAGAATCTTTGTGTTTAGTTCTTTACACAGAGGTGCAGTTTGTGAAATATAAAACAAAGTCAGGCTTGTAAGAATTGATAAATGCAATTTTTGAAAAGACGTTCAGTTTCCCCAAGTTTGAATGGTTTTAATCGTAAATTGCTCACCCTCGTAATGTGGATTGACTCGCGGTGCATAGGATCCGAACTTAATAAGGACCGGAATGTCCAGTCCTTGTCGTATCCACTCCACCACATGCAGGGATGCTGGGTCCGTTGGGGGAACGCTACACCCGAGCTCCACCAAGCCTCCAACTTTTCCCAGGACCTCCGACCTTACACCTTCAACAGCCACTGTTTCATCAGCAGAAATAAAAAAAAAGAAAATATCTCAATATGTATACATATTTATATGGATTTGCTTCCAGTAAACTAGTATTTGCAAGAGTACACATACATCCAGGCTGGAAGCATATAGCCGTTTGTAGAACATCTTTCAAATCAAACAACCGAGGTACTCACATAAGTGGCAACAAACTGCCACCACAAGGAAAGTCTGCCAATGGGATCTGGTGGGCTTCATGGCTGTCACTCACGCAGCCAGCAGCATGCTCATTCTGTTGGCAAAAGAGACACAGGTGTCACATTCACATCACCTCCTGGGCTGCACATAAGAAGGCAGCCATCTCTGACAGATTCCCGAGCTAAAAAGGCTACAGCAGAGCTGTCACTTCTGTCGTAATTTCGCAGCAAGGGGGGGAAAAGAGCGTTCGTATTTTTTATACGGATTTCCAATAACTGGAACTCATCCCATGTCATTACACAAATGGGCAGAGCCACCTCTCCCGGCAGAAAAAAACCTGGCCCTGTCTTCTTTTTCGAAAAGTAAATGTCATAATTGTCAAATAAATCTCGGAGGAAGTCGTGTGTGAACAGCGTCTAAGTGTTTTATGGAAAGCGCATCAATGAAGACATTTGGCTGGGAGGACCAAAAGAGACTCAGCACTCAAGGGCAGAGTCCAGCTGAGCCGATCGGGAAAGCAAGGCGTCAACAAGCGAAGCCTGCTGTCGGAGTGCAGAGACGGCATCGGGTTACTCAGCTGCACCTTTGGGGCTTAGGAAATACGGCAGACTTGACGTAATGCTGTAGGTTTCAAATAGAAAAAAATGACTATTTGATTTTAAGACAATGCACTGCAAATATGGTGGAAATATATCTCCCAGCTGACCCTGAACACCACCTAACAGCGTTGAGGTAATAATCCCTGCTTTGTCTTGTAGGTTGTATAAATTAAAGACATCAATTAAGAAATCTTGTATAGTCTGTGGTTACGAGGTGCCAAAATCAATGGGAGTGAATCGAAGGAGCCAAAAACTAAAAAATATGGTGCTGACAAATGGGATGGGCCGTATTCATTCGGCACTTTTCGGGTCTTTCCCATCCCTCTAAATGCTTTAACACTACAAACCGCAGCCACCCGTTCAAACACACACGAGCACTCGTGCAGCTCTCCTTCATCCATAAAGCATTAAAGGCTCGGCAGGGCATTGTTATTCACCGTCACACACACACACACACACGTCCACACACACACAAATGGAGACATCTGAGGCGGCCTGCGGCTCGTCATCTTGCCCGTAGACACTTTGACATATGCGCTGATGAATCCAGGGAACTAACCACAAGTCACTGAGAAGTACACAGAGAAATATTATATCAGACGAGTCATCATTTAAAAACACACTTTGGAATACACAACACTGTAGCCTGAGTTATTGTCGGCATAAAGTGTCGTCAACTTTTACTAGCCAGTATTACGGATATCAATGGATTTCTCTATGCTGCTTCTGGTAGGTTGCTTTCCACACATCAGCCTCCACAAGGCCCGCATCTGCTTTCCCCCCATGTCCCCGTTTGATTGATGCTTTTGTCAAGTGGTGCTAACGTGAAGGAGTTTACCAGAGCTGCTAGTTGTAAAAAAAGGGGGAGTTTAGCCAATTTGGAGGTCAGATTTCGCTTCTCACGCTCTGAAAGAAACTGAAAGCAAGCCTCAACCCCTATTTGATTCCCTTTTTCTGCGATGTGCATTAACTCTGAAGGACGGACACGCCCCTTTTCACAAATATTGACCGATTGTTAATGGTTCCAGCAGCAGGGCTCGTTTGTCATTGAAACTGTACAAAAAAACCACATCAATCAAACCGGGCTTAGGGTCACATGTGTAATCATTTGTTTACTCAAGTTCTTTTAAGCCTTTTTTTCTTATTTTCTTTTGTGAATGTGAAACTTAATGGTCATTGATGTTTAAAAATTCAAATATTTCCCATCTCCTTTCGCTTGTTTGTGACAATATTTTAAAAAATACCTATTACAGTTTATTTGGAGCATATATTACAAGTTTAATTGATTTGCATCCAATCATGAGTTTATAAAGAAAAGAAAATGTGATTACCTGTAAGTGTGAAATATTTCAATCATTTGACAACCTCCATTGTAACAAATATACACATTATTAGAAGAATGGGTCACTTAGGACTCTACATCATATCTAATTGTAACGTAAAGCCTAACCCAATCCCTCATAGTACTTAAAATTTTATTGAGGTTCATGAATTTGCATAGTTCAACTGTGTCAGAACGTCAAAATCAAGCAGCAACAGCGGAGGCTAACGGCATGCTACAAAAGATCACGTGAACGGAGTCCTTGCCATCTTGACTGACCCCTTGCACCTCCCTGGATATAAGCAATAAACCACACTCTTCTCCCAGAGGCCCCGCATACCCTATTTTCCCTCTCCCCGGCCATGAAGATTTTATGAGGCTTTTGCATTTCATGGCTGAGGCAAAGTCTGCACTGGTAGAAAACAATCACGCAGTCTGTCAACAGCTGCTGTGCTTGGTTCAACACCCCCACGCCTCAGCGAACACAACGGCATGTGCAGATTTTCAACCGAAATCAACGTGAAAGTCAAAATAAATAAAGCCACGCCGTAAATCCCCACTCGCCGATCATGGACAATTACCACACAAGCACCTACATTCTTGCGTCCTTTAACGGCATCGCTTTATTTAGAGAAAGTTTTCATCCAAAACTTTTCAACGCTCAACTTTCAGGCTTTCAGTGTTTATGACAATTCGGCAAGGCCGGCAAAAGAGATACGCGCTTCACACAGTATGCAAGGACGAAAGAACACTGTGCTCGCCTGTTGCTATGGGAAAGTGTTTTCATTCTGTGCATACGAACAGATGCTCAGCATCTCATTTCACTGTTTATCGAATGCCTTTTGTTACATCAGAATAGCGTGAAAAATAAGGATTTGAAAAAAATGACAGTCAACAAATCAACAATTAAATAAACATAACCATCTACAAAAAAATGAAGGCATTGAAATACAGACAGCCACAAATGAACACAAATAGTGTTTACTGCTTAACTGCTGTGGAGAGGTCAGTCTAATTCTGTGTGTCTTGCCTAACAGCAAGGCAATAAAGTGGATCAACACTGGCAGCAGCAAAAAAAAAAAAGAGAGAAAGAGAGAAAAGGCAAGAGAAAAACAGTCAATAAAAAAATGAGTTGAGGAGGAAAAATCTCATTAATATGTAGGGTATTGTCTGTCTTTAAATCTTAACAAAACAACGCTCTCGGTCATGGTAACCACGATGGTCTTAAGACATTTTCCTTTAGAGTATTTCCTCTGACACTAAAGATGTGCATAAGCATAAGCACGGCGACAGCTCAGCGTTCTGGCAAATGTTTGAGGCCATGATAAATGAGCCAGTGGCTCTCAAAAGAAAGCGCCCCGTCTCATGCAGATTTATCAACAGACTGAATTGGAAATGTCAGTGACGGGCATGCTGTTGAGATTCTCTTGTTCCCATTTTAATCTACATACGCAGAGGAACGCGGAATAGCTTATTAATCATGAAATCATGGCCAAGGCCGCTCTTATTCCTCTTTTTTCGCACCGTGCTTAGAACCAAAAGCTAAAGGCAATCCAATAAAAACGTTTCCTGACCAAAATTTTTCTCCTCCCCAGTCTTCACAATTCTGGCATCAAAATATATCCTTAATGCAAAAGCATACATTGATTTGAGCGCAAACATTTGCTTTCTGTTTTAAGGGAAATTTGAACATTTTATCAGTGGGTTCAGTTTATTCTCAGCCTAAACTCACAGTGACCATAATTGGGCATTAACCTCCGAACAGAAACTAGATAAAAAAGAGGGAGAAAGGTCATACTGCTAACGTGCTGTGACTGTATACAGGTAAAAAGTATGCTCAATGGAAAATTGTGCTTTGAACTTTCACAAGCATTTATTCACAGGCACTGCTGAGACATTTAGCTCCTACTAAAGCTGAATCACTGGGACATGAGGCACTGAGTTAATTCTCACTCAGAAAATCTTTTGTGCTTTCCCACAATGGAGCTCCAGATGTGACTTAAAAGAGGTAACGTTTGGCCATCAAACCATCTTTTTAACATATGTTTTACTCGAGGAAATCTTTACATACTTTGAGTTTTTTTTAACTACATGGACAGTCTAATGAGTGGCAAAAATCAGGAGTTTAACCCACTAAAAGAGGCAGGCAAGGCCTTATCAAACCGACTGTAATGCCGCTCATAATAGCCTTTCTAGATAATGCCCTTGACTATCTGCATTGCTCAACTAAATGTAGCACACAATAATGTTTTTTTTCTAAGTCAAGGCTGGCCTAGATGGACTGAGCAAGAACCAAGTCAAATTATCCGAATATACAATCAAGGCTGTTTCAAATAAATAATAGCTCCATATAATACATTTCACTATATTGGTAAAAACTAAATCAAACTATTTAGAGGATTTCAATAGTGAATAAAGATTTATCCAGAAGCTCACACAAGATATGACACTGCATTTGATTGTTTTCTATATTAAAAAAAGCTCAGACACTTCAAAATAATCTTAAAAATTTGCCTGGATCCGCAGTTAAAGATGCTTTAGTTTCAGAGTAAACATTTAAAATCTGGACAATGACATCTGTTCTTTCACTCGCTTTTCAAAAGAGATGCCGCCTACAACTTACCAGACGATTTGAACCTGTCACAGCATCCAGCTACTTCATCCCATTGAAACTTGGAGTCTCGATACATCCGTTACCATGCTAACAAGTCCTTTAACATGATAACATCCTAATTTCCACTGCAAGGCTGTAAACCACCTTTCGAGGATGTGATTAGGGAAAGATGAATGGAAAGGTTAATGAGAAAAAAAAAAGAAAAATAATAATGAGCTATCTTGAGGTGTGTATTTGGTTGTTTCAAAGATGAGAATTCACAATAAGGGATATAGAAAAAGCTTTGCAAATTGATTCAGACCTGGAAAACATTACAAAGATGTAACTCTAAAGTGTTTTTTTGGTTTGAGTCAGAATGCAAATCTGAAGAAGAGCTCTCTATAATATTTTCAAGTGGATGTCCACGGCATAGGTTAGTTGATGTTTTAATAATAGTGAGAAAATAAGAACTGTGTGTTATTAGTGGCACATAAATATGGCTACAGTAGCTTGTAAAAGGCTGACAAAGTGCTATATATGTGCTAGTTACTTAACTATGAACTTCTATATCAAGTCAGTTTGGGTCTTCCAAAATATAACTGTCAGATATAGCTTCTATGTATACCCATATTATTTTGGATTGACAATTAAATGCAGAAAACTAAAGTGTGATGCGATGATATTGATGATAAAAGGAACTGGGGAAGTATCAAAACTATTAGAATTTCTTCATTTTCGCACTATTTCACAAAGACCTAAAAATAAAATCATTAACTGGCTATTGGCATCACAGCAGTGGTTGAATTGTTCCAAAGACCGTTGTTGGATTTACTTTATCTACCAGAAAGATAACTCATGCAAAGAAGAGGGTATCTATAAAGTCATAGTATGATCATAGTTCCATCTGTTTAAGGGCACAGTTTAAAAGAAAAAAATGGTTATGTATATGCCTCTGAATTAGACACATAGCTGAATTATTCCTGTTTTAGTCATTTGCCTGTAAATGAGAATGAAGCCAGACAGATAATTACATACTAACAAGATTAAATAACATGCTACCTGCTTTAAGTAGGTCTATTAAACATTTAAATTGACTTCTAATGTAATTTAATGTTATAAAGATTTTAAGATCATAGGATTTAGCCAATCCAAATGACTTTTTTAAAAACTGTCTAAACGAGTGCTAAATGCCACGATTCGCTTCAGTTCTGTCTTTTTTATTTTCACCTCTTTCTTATCTGTCCACATGGCACTTCTATTATTTAGCGCCTTCATTTTTCTATCTTAAATGCACGTGGATGGCTCTTTTACTCAAAGACACACAGTTGGAGTCCTCTGTGTGGCTTGGTCTGCTATGCTCTTCAGGGGAAAATAAGACTTTTTGAAAAGAAGTGTGAAAGCAGAAGAAATACAGAGATTTTGACTCTGCAAGCATCCCCCGTGCTCTGAACACAAACATGAGGAATCCTTTCATTTCAATGAAAATAAGTTGAATGTCACAATCTTTTGTTCAGAGATTCCATTAAAGGGACTCACTTGTAAAGCCCCCAGTGCTAGTCCAAAGTCAAAAGCAGCAATTTCCAGTTCAAGCTGAGGTTACAAATCTGTCCGTCAATCCCGAATACGTCATACAGTAGATCCAATTGTGGCTGGCTCTTTTCTGCTGTCTTAGAATGATATTATACAAAGAAATATGTTGTTTCTATAATATCACTTATTTCCATATTCCAGCAATAATGTGTTGTGTCTCTGCTAAATCAGCTAAATTCGGTCTTGTTGACAACCATAGTCATCTGCTGAATGCTGATCTGCATTGCAAAGCACACCTCTCCCCAGAGCTCACGCTACGGGACTGCGTTTTTCTGCCGAACTGATCCAAAGCTGTGAGGAAAATGGAGAGATTATTCTAATTAAGCTTTTAATCTTTGGGTTTAATGGTGTTCCGAGTCAAACTCTGAGTGACAACAGGATGATTGGTGCTCGAATCAGGTTGAGCCCCTCGACTCTGATGGTTTGCTGAGCATTTTGATCTCTCTCGCTTCGTTTCCTGGGCCGCTCCTCTTTATGGCTTGAAATGGGTCGGGCTGAGGTAGGTAAACAGTGAGGTCACATATCACCAATCAGCATTGAGCTCGATTTGAATAAAAACTTGACCTCCTGGACTCTTGCTAAATAACACCACGCACCCCTCTCCTTCAAAGCCCTCATAGTAGAGCGTTTGACATTTGTATTCATTTAAAACTCATTTTAATTCAAGGTTTTCGGTAGAACGTATCATTTCTAAACAGTTTCACAGGGTTCTTCAAACACGATGGGCAACAGAAGGTCTTTGAAAGCAGCCACAAGTACACAGAAGTGAAAGGCCTGGAATTATGATGCAGCCATTTGTATCTACTTCAAACTGTTTCAAGTATCAGGTGTCAAGTGCCTACCGTCAATGACAAAATCCAAGAGGCAACAATCAAGTTTTCCTCCTTCACAATAAAGATCTCCCAAATTAATTTCCACTCAGCTCCCCTCTGTTGACATAAACTTTCCAGGAAAATGTTACATGAAAGTGCACCCAGCTGGTACACAATCTAACCCCGGTTAGGAACGGAGATAATTAGCCGGAGCTCATCTGCGAAAAATGATCAGAACATTTATTCCAAAAATGCCGAACAAGAGAAGGACTTTGGTCTCTAAAATCATAGGACAAAATACTTTTCATTCTGGCCTCGAACGCCCACTTGTAGCCTATCCTTGGCCCTGCACTCACAAATACATTCTCAAAACAATACTTCTGAAATGGACATATTTTAATAGAAGATAAGAGGATAAAAAACTTTCGAAGGCTTTTTTGGACAAAGGCTCAAGTTATCCTCTAAAGTTATCCTACAGATCTTCTTATCTATGTGTGCTGTGATCCCAGAGGAACCAGAGATCTTAATAACATATTATAAAGGTTGTCGCACCCAATTAAACCAGTTCACCAGAGAGAGGGGGGGTAAAAACAACCGACAAGAGGCCACAGTGAAAGGAGAGACAGAGTTTGTTTAGGGGAAGCTTCTGCTGTTCGTGAGAATAGGCTGCTCCTGAATTCTCATACCAATTTATAATGAACATCCCCCCCCTTACACACACACAGACACACACACAGAGCCCTCATATGCTGACGTTTAAATTAATGTCCCAGATCGGAGGACTGGGAGGAAATGTCCCACTCCTCCGGTATGAGCTCGGAGTTTTTTTCATTTCCAATAAGCAGGGATGAGTCAGAAACTCTCCCCTGCTTAGTTTGCTGTTCACCTTACCTTCTTTCAGCTCGGTTCCCCCCCTCTCAGAGACGGATCATCCGCTTGTTTGTTTTTAGTCCGTTGGGAGCGTCACTTTGCTGGGAGCAGAGTCACTGGACTGGGCAAAAAACTGAAACTGGTCCTTATTATTATTTTTTTTCCACTTTAAAGATCTGGGAGTTTATTCTCCTTCGACTCCCCCCCACAAGGCAACAGGTGTCGGCTTCACGTCCAGGTGACCGACGCGCAACCCAGGCTCCCCGGCCTGGTCCAACCCCCCCCCCGGCCTGGTCCAGCCTCCTCCCACCACTTCCTCTCCGCGATCCAAAGTGAAGAACACACCTCAGCGATGTTTACTAAGCCAGCCCTGACTCTTTTTCAAACAAAAACAGTATTTGACATAGGTACTATATGTTGCGCCATCAGAAACGGTGCGCATTTTGGCCCAATTACGCGCCAAATGAGGAAATGCAGATGCATAACCTGGGCCAAATATGTTCTTTTTATTTTATTTTATGCCATGATGGCATCCCGCTGACCACAAGAGGGGGTGCTTTACTTCAAACAGAAAAGCAAGCAACTGGCACCTGTTGTACCATAGAGAAACAACACACACTACTGCTTTACTTATACTTACCATACCAGAAAGTAAATAAATATCATTCCATATCTTCCATAGTATCTTTGCCGCATTCAGTAATATTCTTCTTTAGCTAATGTTGACCAAAAAGATGGAAGAATGTCCTGTGTATCTAAAGGGAAAACTAACATTGGCTGTTTTCTTTATGGAAAGTGTGGACACAAACATTTTTTATGAAAGACAAAAACCAAAATCAACCACTTCCAAAGGGCTTTGCAGATGATTCAATTGCAAACGGTCACATTTTCACTTAAATTCTTCTTTATTTTGCAATCACAAAAGCACGAGTAGAAATACAATTTTCAAACATCTAAAACAAAGCACAGCAAAAACATACCAAAAGCAGCAATACTTTAAACGGGAAACTAAACATTAAATTATAAAAGACAATGTACATTCATTCATGCTTTGGAGAAAATCTGCACATTTTTCTAAAGTTACAGTCCTTTGTCCAGTCGTTTTGATTTTTAAACAGCACAAATACAAGATATATAAAGTGACATTGTAGTGTCTGCTCAGGGAGGAGTGTATACCTGCCAACCAGAAGCCTGATGTTTGGATTGTCTGCCCTATCCAAAAGATACAGCTCACTTAGCAGTGTAAGTGTCCTTCATCAACTAAAAAAAGAAACTTAAAAAAGGCAAAAGTTTAATATATAACTGCACAGTCAGGGCAGGGTGTAAAGATCGAGTATAAAGAGAGCATCCACCAAAAGCGAAGTCTTTTCAAGCAAGAAAAAGGTCCCTGCTCCCCTATCTGTCACAGAAACATTCATTTCTCAATGCCAGATGATAGTCAAATAACTCCACGGCGAAATACTGTTTAAACATTCCAAAACCTTTTTAAATAGCAAAGGATGGTGGTTTAAATAAAACTCCAACACTGTGCATCTTCACAGCATCATCATAAACACACGTATATGTGCAGAAAGTAAATGTAACTAAAATGAAAGACGATGTAACGCAGTAGCATCCATGCTTTCTCCACAAATCATTCAAATGTTTTGCTGTCATCAAATTGTGTCTATTTTGCAAAAACATAACAGTCAGCAAGGGAAGATGCTGAAAATCAGTTTGAGATACAATTAACACACTATTGGTACTTTTGATCTTTTCTTTTTCTCAACTTTTCTAGAAAATACCTTTGTATAATGACTCAGGATAAAACACTTTCTTTTGATAGCATATGAACCAATATCTGATGCAATGTGTCCAGACACACTGTAAAATGACGGTTGAAAAAGGACAGCGATTCTGAAACCAACGCCCGAAGCCGTTGGATACGAAACTGCCACTTATATCTGAGGCTTCTTGTCAAACGAAGAACAGCTAAATCTTGCTGTTCTGTTACAGGTGTACAGCTGCTCTGACGTCCACCGCTAATAGACCAATAATAAAGCTGCAGTGAGTCGCCGGGGCCTGTCCACCTCTTGTGTTGGACACTCATAAAATGACGAGAAAGCAAGAGCAAACACGGCAAACATGAAAAAACTCGAGGTCACAAGAAAATAGACTGAAAAAAAAAAGACAGATTGCGGCAAAGTCTCTGCATCATTCCACCACTGGAGAGAGACAGGTCTCCATGGTGAGAGTATTTAGCTCTTTTGGCTGCGTATATTAAAAAAAAGCGAACAGTAGTATGCTTTCAGTCTCAGGGTATACAAAGTGGGTCAAAAGGATGAAGAGGCTGTGACACACACACCGGATTTCACTGAGCTCAATCGCCGAAATCTGGAATGTCCTCGTAGGAGTAACCCCGGTATCCCTTGGCGGCGTAGTAGGCGATCCTCAAATGGTAAAACCCGGGGAGGAAAACGAGCATCCCTATGACGATGACAGGGATGGTGCGGTCAGGATGCTGAGGGGAATAAAAAAAAATAGAAAAAAACTTAATTAGAGAACATGTGTTTGTAATGCAGGAATCTTACACCCATAATTGACTGCAAATGTATCACGGCTGACACGCTCCAACACATTTCCACATAAACATCTGAATACATCATCTGGTAATTCGAAATACAGAGTACAGTAAAGACGAATGCTCTCATTACGCTCTACTAGTGTACTTAACGCCACGCTGGCTGCCAGCAACAACATCGGCGCCCTCAAACGAAGAGGACGTGCGGGGAGGCTTGCGAGGCGTGATGGCTTCATTCATCTGTCTGAGCTCTGCTTTCATGTAAAATCGGCAGTCGTTTCATGTCCAGGGCCGCTAAGCGCCAGGAGGCGGAGGTTGGGGTGGAGGCGGAGGGATGTGCAAAACTCAACCACCAGATGGCAGCCTCGTGCTCAGAGTCACCCAGGAGGAGGACGCACTGCAGCATAACAGCAGTGGCCGGGCTCTTCAGCATCCTCCTCCCTTGCTATTTGTCAAGATATGAGCAAAAGCTGTATTACCTATGCAATTGTTGAGCCGATCAAGCTGTATCTTACTTGGAAAGAAACCGGTTCTTCTAATTATCTCCTCAGCTTTCCTCAAACGCCGCCCACCACGCTGAAACATATTAGGTTTGTGACTAATAATGTAGCTCTGTGAGAATTGGAGCTCAATGGCTTAAGCAATAAATAAACACATTTGTCTGAAGAGGGGAAGGTGCAAGGACTGGGCTGAAAAGAATTGAAAAAGCAGCCAGTGGCCAAGAAAAAAAAAAAAAGAAAAAAAGTGGATAGACCTTCAAAGAGATAAAGAGAACTACTGCTCACGATAATTTTGAAAAGACTGGAAGAAAATTGGTTTAGCAGGTCAAATACGGAGAAATGAGTTGTCGTCCAAGGCTTCTGCAGACTGCTGGAACTCTCGACGAGAACTTTCATTTTTACGAAGCTGTAATTCGGGCGAAGCGATCCATATTTCGTCTGATTTCAAAGTTTGGGGAGTTTTGTGCCTGAATCAGCTCCAATTTCTGCCTTTTCCTTTTTTGCCTCGGCAACGCTTGACTGTGTTTACCTGACAAAAAGAAGATTAAACCCCATTCTCTCAGCCGCACAGGCCTTATAACTTTCGAGTTATAAGTCCTTGGGCTCTCTGTTTGAGCATTATCTACAGGTAGAACCTGGTGTAATCTCCTGGTATTAGACACGCTACCTTAACTCGCGTGGGCTAATTGGCAAATTCAGCAGAGTTAAACACTCGGATGTTGCTTTTTATGTCAGATGAAAATAAAATTCTGCCAATACAACCTGTGCACTGAAAAGAGAAAGAAAGAAAACGTAGACATTAACCTCCCACTGTTAATTACCAATATAAAACATGCAGGTTCAGTCATCTCCCACGTGGAGCCGTGTAATGAAGAAGTTAAAACCCCAGCGTGGAATCTACTGAGGTTGGCCCCTTTTAATCGTTCATTATTTTCTAATCATTCATTGTTCTCTCGAAACGTGTCTAACGTGTGAGACAGACTTTATTCTGAGTCGGGAAGGCCAAAGATGGCCGGTGGAATATCCCCCGGTTTCCCATAGGTGGGCCAGCTGAAGACCCCCCCCCCCCCCCACCAGCGTTTTGGCTCACCGACTCACTTAATGAGTCTGGCTCACCTTCTCCGATAATCGAGCACGTCTGCTGTGAGAAAGAGTCTGTGAACAGGCGTGTGCCGGGGGCACGTGCCGGGTTTTATGCTCAGGATCGCGCACGTGTTTTGTTCTCAGTTCAGAATGTTCCTCCAAAAAAAAAAAAACATTCCTTTCCTTTTTCCAACTGTGAAGATTGCTTGCACTGCAGGCAGACAGATGAATCAACAGCTGATATCACCACACGGAGAGAGGGGCAAAATGGATATTTAAGCCCATCTATGAGCAGAGCAAGCATATAATTAAAAACAGACCCCGAGTACTGGGGGAGTAACTCCTTTTTCTTTAAAAAAGGCCTTTAATACTCTTTGGATATCGATTCATTTTCATATTATTCTGACTGAGGGGGAGATGAATGCGCTGATCTTTGCATTGTCATTTGTTATTTCACAGGATTGTAGTTTTTCTTCATCCATTGGTGATTTCCATTCAGATTTTGTAACATTTGGACGGAGAAAAGCCTTGTTCCAAATTTTTACCCAGCCAGTAGCATTTATTCTAAGTTAACCTCTATCTTTAAATAAGGATTAGAAATGCGTCTTTTTTTTTTTCCAGAATAGAGTGTTTGTAGTGTTTACCCACACTGCAACCTTTACCGCCTAAGGCTGTGTTGTCAAACTTTTGTTTCCTCTGGGGTCACTGTGGGCGCTCCGCACACCTGATTCATAATAAATTAAACACCGAACAGATTGCTGTCAGGTTCTGCAAAGGCTTGTTAAGTACCCATTTGGGCCTGGAGTGTTAAACGGGGAAACAGAAAAGCCTTCAAAATATAATTGTGGGAAAACCACAACCCTGGTAAAATAGAAATGTATCAATCAATTAATAAATATTATGAGAAAAATAGTAATAATCTAACCTGCTGTGAAAATCATTATCGTCGTTTTTAACTGTGAATAACAATTTAACAACTTCGACCAGCACTCCCAACATTTCAAAGTAATTGTTTAATGCAATGTTTAGTAACAATTTATAATCTGAATCTGGTGTTTTGAAGCAGATTGTGAAGAAAAATGTGCAGTTCCCAAATGTGAACACTGAGGAGTGCAGGGTTAGACTAAAGGCTAAATCAATCTTTGGGTCAACAAAAACAAACAACAAAGCTTCTGCATTTCACAGAGAGAATAAACTGGCATCTTCCAAAAACGGAACAACATTTAGGATGAGAGACTGTTGAGACACAAGTCACAAATTTGTACTCTGGAAACCGGCCTGGATTTTAAACGTCACTTCAAAGGAAGTGGAAACGGACATGCTTGGCGTTAACTATTTTTAGCAAGAGGATATCTTAGGCTATGTTATGAAATTTAGCAGACAATTCTATCCACAGCGACTCTAAATGTAGACATGTTTCAGCTTACATCAAAACCAAAGCTAACAATGATCAAATTTATTTTAAAAATTGCTTCTCTGTCATTAATTTGGGGACAGATGAGTTGTAGGATAATGAAATTATTCTACAATTTTTCTTCTCTCCATACCTTGTCTGTTTGAAAAAAAAGAAAAAAGAAGAAAAAAGACAAAAATAAAATTATCTGGGGAAAAAAACTCACCTCAACTTCTATGGTCCCTGCCAGAAGAAGAGCACCGAAGATTATCAGCAGGGAGCCAATCAGAAACAGGAATATTGCCAGGGCAATGGCCTTGTACGGCACCTTTGGTGGACTCTTCTTGAACTGTAATGAGTAGAAAATATTACGTATACTTTCACTCTGAGCTGGTCTATTTTCACAATGATTAGATTATTCATCTATCATTTTATTCATTTATTTAAATTCACATGAAAATGAATTCAAGTTGTGGACACAGTTTGCATAGAAAACACATACATGTATCTGTGGTCTCACTGCTTTAAAAATCAATGCCTGATTTCAATTTCTGTGCTTTGCATCAAACGAACTGACAAGTGAAACTCATTCATTCGCAATAGTCTAACAAAACATAAGAAACGTAATGTCCAAGGTCGAGATTTTGAGGATGAACTTTGCATATCATCCAAAATTACTTAAACAAGAAGTAAAGCTAGAACACAATTTCAAGATTAAAGCAGAAGCACCGCATTGTTGGATACGCCTTCAGTTTGAGCCAGGGACATGAACTTTCGGATAGAAGTTAGATGTAAGAGCTTTTACAGAGATGTGGCTGAAAACTGCATGTTTTTTTTAACCTGAGCACCTGAGCTAAGTGTATACAGGCCTTGAAAGGCTCAGCCCTATGAAGGCTCTCTCTGTCTCATCCTTGTCCTGCCTTTAGTCATTCATTTGTTTGCAGCATGTTTTCTTTTTAGACTTCCTCAATATCACACTATATTCAGCACCCTCCACACCTAAACTACATATTACCTGCTGATTCTCTTCTGATCCTAAGATTCAAACATACATATCTTATGTTTTGTTTTAATTAAGTAATGTTCTTAAATAAAATGTGGATGCGAAATACTTTTCAAATCCTTTTATGCTTACCAAGGTATTATGAGTCATCACAGGCACTACAAGCTTTGGATTCTTCCAATAAACTGATGCCATATACCTTTTTTGGTTGCTTTGCAGGCTAAGCTACGGAGTTTGGTGGCTGTTGCACTATGGTCTCACCATTATTAACCATCTAGTTGGATGCCTTGTGGCATCGAACTCCCGGTGATAGAATAGAGGAGTTTTTTTCTCCACATAATTGTTTTTATTTTTTCGTTAACGTAATCAATCTTCTTATTCATTTCTATTCGCTCTGATTTGCTGATATCAATAGCATAATAATCAGAAACGTAAAAACTTGACCTTAAATAACTTTTTTTTTCAAGCCTCATTTAAATCTACATCAACTTCCTTGTTTTTCTTTAAGTGTGCATGTGCGTAGAAATCTTGTCCAGTTTCTTGAGCTGTCTTGTCTCCGTCCGTACAAACTAGTTACGGTCATTAATCTGGACATAGATATAAAATGGTAAATGGAATCCAGCAGTATCACAATTTCCAACCCCAAGGAAAAGCATTTAATTTCAGTTTGAGTTTGGAAATAGCTTTTTTAACACCTGTTTTATGATGCGTCTACGGGTCACGTTTTATTATTGGAGTGTAATAAACTACCAAAACAAAATTACATGGTATATGATTTCATTCCTTAAAGGCAAATTAAATATTTAACCGACACTTTTGAGTTTATCTGAAAAAGGTATTGGTGAAATATTCAATTCGACTTTATAGTATAATCCTTAAATAATAGCCAAATTGAAATCTGCTTTCTTTTTGAGTAAACCCATATTTTGGTAACAAAAGTCTGCGACAGTGAAAATATCTCACCTGTAAGTCTATGTAACCATCTTCATCAGCAGCCAACCTTGAATACTTCACCTTGTTGTTGGACATTCCAGCAGCATGCATATTACTTCTAGCTGCCTTCATGACAGCACAAATCCTGTTTGGAAAGAGATAAAGTTGTCCAGTCAGGTTAGCCTCCCACACTTTAAACTGTCCTCTGTTAGCAACATTTCAGTAACATTTCATCTGACAAAAATACTGCAGTGCAGAACAAAAATTGAAGGAAAAAAAAGGAAATAGCTCCACACCTTAGATAAGATGCCTTCAAATGCATATATATATATATATTTCATATATATATATATAATATATATATATAAAAATTGAAAACAGAACTCAGGTGTCATTTGAACTTTTTCTGAGAGAAGGAATAAATCATTTCAGACAAATTCTGAGAAACTGATCCTTTGCCGTTGTCACCCATGAGGGTCGTTCCTTCATGTTCACCTTTTTCCAATTCTTGTATTCATTCCACGCAAGCAACACAGAGTTAATAAAAGCAATCTCATTAAGCCAACTAATTACCGGCACTTCCCTGAAAGCGGCATCTGCATACAAAGAGAGACGAGAGAAACAAAGAATACCAATCTGCCCCACACGGGATCAGAGAAGTGTGACTACACATGTGATCAGACTTTTCTTAAGCCCTTTTTTCTGAGGTTAGAGGTGTTGGCCTAGTCTGTGGTACTTGCCCTTAAACTGGCCTCCCAGGAGTCCTTCAATCCAATCCACCAAGAATTGTTTTTACATCCTCAGCACAGTAAAAGGAACACTGCACTGTCATAGAAACCTACCACAGACACAACTATCGTGAAGAAATTGTCACTGTGATTGTTGGATTACTTAGGCTGTGCTTTGGGGCCTGTCATATATTTGTAAGATCCATCCATCCATCCATCCATTATCAATGCCGCTTATTCCCTCATGGGGTCGCGGGGGGAACTGGAGCCTATCCCAGTGGTCAACGGGCGAGAGGCAGGGTACACCCTGGACAGTCCGCCAGTCCATCACAGGGCCACACACAGGACATACAAGGACAAACAACCACTCACACTCACATTCACTCCTAAGGGCAATTTCCCCAATCTCCAATCAGCCTAACATGCAGGTTTTTGGACTGTGGGAGGAAGCCGGAGAACCCGGAGAGAACCCACGCAGACACAGGGAGAACATGCAAACTCCACCCAGAAGGGCCCTGGTTCCCCCGGGATTCGAACCCAGAACCCTCTTGCTGGGAGGCGACAGTGCTAACCACGACACCACCCTGCCGCCCATATTTGTAAGATATCTATATTAATGTTAAAATAAGGAAAGAAAACAGCATATTAACCCAGTTACACCTGAGGGGATTTCCAATAGGAAGAGGGGGAAAAGCTGTAAACTTTTGGTTATTTTTATTGAGGGGGATGTTAAGCTTTAAAGCCTGTCAAAAGCCTTACGGACTTTAGATCTCTCAAAATAAACTATATACGCACAGCTACAGGTTTAGTTTATGACGCTTTTTCGAAATTTGTGGCAATACTTCCCTTTTCTTTATCTTCTTATCGGTGTTTGAAAAACATAAAAACAGAAAACAGTTTTTTTTTCTGTATAGCTATCCGTTATTGCCAGCAAACAAACTGTGCATAGGTTTTGTGAGGCCAACGACGAGCACAATTTTATACCCTGATTGTTAAAAGTCTGACAACCATAACTACCAACGACAACCATTAGCTGAGAGCATTAGCCTCCGACTCCGTTATCCTGCGAAAACCCAGACAGGACAACGCAAGATATTCTTTTAAAAGTAATTTCTTAACCTGGTCACTTTCTTACCGTCGTGTGAGGTATTATAAATTCCACAAACAGTGTTACTCATGAGGTAAGTTAGTGGCACCGCGTCTACGTTGTTTTCATTGATGAAAAGCTACGTCAACTTCCTTGTTTTTCTTTTAGGGCGCATGCGCACAGAAATCTTGTCTGGTTTCTTCGGCTGTCTGGCTCGGTCCGTACAAACTTGTTAAAGTCTGACCATAGTTATGAAATACTAAGGGTAATCCAGCAGTATCAAAATATCCAACCACAAGGAAATGCATTTAATTTCAGTTTGAGTTTGGAAATGTCTTGTTTTTAATGATGTGTCCATAGGTCACTTTTTGTTTATGGAGTATAATAAGCTGCCAAAACAAAATTACATGGCATACATGGCACTCCTTGAACATTATCAAGACGAATTAAATATTTCACCAACTCTTTTTTCATATAAACTCAACAGTGTATGTAATCTTTAAATAAATACATGTTCATATTTTCACCTTCTAAGGTATACAAAACTTTCATTCAAAATTTCAGTACCTGACCAAAACAATCAATCATAGTTGTTTTATGCTGTTTTTATTTCGGATATTTTACTTTAAAATGTGTTTACCCCCACTATACAAGAAAAAATCTGCACAAGCTAAACATTTTCACCAACCTGAGATGGCCAATAATATTAACTGAAAAATACAGTCAGTGCCAAACATCTGAAAGGCAAAACTTCCTGAAAGTCAGCTCCGTTTAAAACTTTTAGTGACTCCCCTAAAAAAAATACACCAAAAAAACCCCAAATACCCTGCCTTTCTTATCGCTGTTTCTGTGTGTGGCTTTGTTTCCTCATCTATAGCATGGTTTGTTAGTTCCGCAGCTCTTTGAGTTAGTGGACAGCAAATATCTCTATACTTTTGGGAAAAGATCCTTTCTTTTACTGTTGTTTACAAAGTGCATTTCCAGCTGTTATGGAGAGGAGCCTAATTAGTGTAAAACTGCTGTGTTTTTTTTTTTTAAATCATTGTAATACTGTATGACTGTTAAGTATTTAACTTTGTTAAAACTCAACGATTAAACAATGGGGGGAAATGAGCAATCAACTTGATGGCTGAGCATTTCTAATTTGAAACTATTGCATTCAAGAGACAGTCTGAAGTTGCAATTTCACACAGTAAGTGTTTCACAATCAATCTTGTTAACTTGCAGGGTAGAAAAGAGACTTCTTTAACATTCAACAACACTTTCTGGACAACATATTTTGTACTGTGTGAATATGATGTGTACTGAGCCCGTTCTGCTATTAAAAGAACAGGATCAAGTGGAGCAGACACATATGGAACATAAAGAGGGAGGGTACACTTATTGAGACGATTTACTCTCACAGATGGCAACTTGTTATGTTACAAGGAATATATTAAAACTTCCCGTCAAGTGTTCATCTGGCATAATCTGCAGTGAGCCCTTGAGATTCTCCAATTAAAAATCTCTCTTGAGGTAGTGCTGAACAGCGTCTCCACATATGTAAATAATTAGTTAGTGACTTTTATGGCATTTTGTTGATGAAGGGACTAAATAAATCTTGACAGTGAGCACAAAATTTCAATGTCCAATCAACCTAACATGCAGGTTTTTGGGCTGTGGGAGGAAGCTGGATAACCTAGAGAGAACCCACACAGACCGAGGGAGAACATACAAATTCCACATGAAAGGGTTCTGGTTCTTCCCCAAGCCAGGTACCGTCTTGCTGTGAGGTGATAGTGCTAACAACTATACCACCCGCATGTGCAACCACTGGAGTATTTTCAATGTTATTATATAGCTTAGGTTTGGTTTAGGCTTTAAGTATTTAATCAGAATTATAGGAGAGGCTGTGGAATTATTCCTTCTATAGCAAGTTCTCAGAAACTATGGATTAATTGGACTAAGTATATAAGGAGAAAGTCTCACCCTGCACTATGTAACACATTTAGATGAAGCAACAGTATCCACATGACACTTTCTGCCTTGTCAGGTGTCAGGAAGGAGTAAATCAGCATTCATTAGAAGTCTTTCAAAAAACATTTCCATGTCATATGCAGAAAAGTTGTATATGCTGATCAAATCATTCTGAGTTGCATCAATGCAAATTCAATCTCAACAGCGCACAGAGGCTGTAAATAGCAACAGCCTACCTCTGCAGTGTAGCGTTTCTTACAAGAGATGAGTCACAACCACATTGCTCGTGGTGAAGATTCAGAGAGTGAGGGATTCCTAAATACAGCAATGTCTATGTTGGCGTTCAAAGATTCATAATGCCAATGAGGTAGGGGAGCTTCTGGCTCACAGATGAAAATATGTGCAACAGACTGGGATATTTCTGTGAATGAATAAAATCATGATCATACTGAGTGACTGATATGAATACTCAATACTAAACTAACGAAATATTAAAGTCTTTGATCAATTTTACAATTATCAATTCTTATCTTTCAATCTATATATTAAAACATTATTCAAATTAAAAGGAATATGATTGTATTAAGTGGTCTTAAATAAAACTCTAAAAGCTGGTTAATTAAATAAAAATAAATAACCAAAGAATAAAACTAAAATGTAAAATGTTATCAACTTGTTTTTTTGAAGCCCATGAATATGAAACGGTGCTGCCATTTTCCTTGAGAGGTAACAACATTGTTTAAATTAAGTAAACGTTCAAAGAAAGTGTTACATGATCAAACAGGATTAATATGACATAATTTAGCAAGCAAACTTCACTCGGAAAGCAAATCTCATCTGATCTGCTGAAATGACAACAGTACATTAGTCATTTTTCCATTAACAAGTTTGAAGCTAAAACACTAGGATGCATGGCGATAACCTTTAAAGGTAAACAAAGAGAGAGAAAAATAAACAGCCATGAGCGACCACAAAAGAATGTATTTTTTCAGCCATTTTCACTATTGACATTTACCTTTTTTATACAAAGCCTCAAAATATCCCCTGAGACAGTAAAGAAATCATGACCATTGTGGAGGAATACCTTCTCAAAACAGGTGGGGAACAAACCTTTGAAGAGGCACAGATTAAGATAGGGTTATGATGAAATATAAAAAGGCTTAAACACTCCTCAGAGCAGCAATAAATCCACTCACTTTGGAAATGGTTTAGAATTGAAAGAAGCATCAATGGTCAAATGGACAAATTGCTGGGTAAAACCTATTTCAACCTTCAGAGAAATTTTTTAAACTACCTTGGAGGATCAGCATAGTTGAAAGACAATATTTTGGTGGTTAAAAGGGAAGTATTAACTTGTCTTGGAAAGCTCCAACCTCCAATCCAATCTGCGGTATGAATTTAAGATGGCTGAAACCATCCAGTTCAAATTAGCTGGAGCAGGTTTTTCTTGGGGAATGGGCAAAAATCCCAGTGTCTAGATTTGCCAGACAGAGATACAACCCAAGACAGTTACAGACACTTTGTACTTACAAAGTGGCAGACATGTTGTGCGGATCAAATTATACACAATCCTGCAGAAATACACTGTTATTCCAGGAAATATAGCCACAATACTGGAAAATTGCCAAAGAGGTAAATACTTTTTATGGTGCTGTATTTAAATGCTGAAATAGCTTGTCATATTTCAATTATCTGTGACTGGAGAAAAGAAAAATGAAAGGGAGATATGTATCAGTATACTGTGCCAGCTTTTTAGGTGCTGACAAATTGCAGGATTATGCACACATGGAGCTCCTGCTTGGCCCAGAAGCACTCCTGATCCTTTGAAGCCTTCCAATATGTCCTTAAAAAGCTACCACAGGATTGTGGGAAGCCAGGCCAACGAACATCAGGCGTCAAGTCGTGGAGACAGCCAGGAATTTACCGTCTGTTTCTGCAAATGTCAGGAAACCAAGGACCTTCAATGAGAGCTGACTGTACCCAGATATATCCTAAACACCGCCATAAAAAATAAGGCACGGCTGAGAATGCGCTGCTTTAATCATTGTAAGAACTATGAATAAAATTTGGGGAGCCGAGTGGGGGAAAAAAACAACTGGAAAAAGATTTACTGTCATCATCATGCGGGCCATTACTATAAGAACAAAGCACCACACACTCCAGAGGGCATAGCAGCAACTTTAAACTTCTCCAAAATTAATTTTAAAAGGTATATTGAACACCAATATCATTTAGAATTTACCAGCAACAAACAAGGGAAACACTTACAAACCTTTGCTTCATTATTTTAACACTTATAGATGCATTGATCCATTGATAAAAGACCTCATGGCATTTCAATAACACTAAGAACAGTTATACACTGAAAGTTGTATTCCTACTTGCGTCTGTCAGTATGTGTCTGCTACCATTGAGGACATTTCATGTCATACAGTGTATTTCTATTGATAATATGTGTGCCCATGCAGCTGCTCCAGTTGTCATAAAGTAAAACTCCAGAGATGCGTGGCGTGCATTTTTAGAGCTGGCAGGACATCTCGGTCCCATTACTGAGCCAGTAATGTATCTACTGTTGTGCTGTAGTCCCGAAAGCTCGTTCAATTTTACAGAGGCATTTCCAGAAAGTACAAATTTGCAATAAAAAAACTCAATTAAAACCAGTACAAAATATTATTTTGGAGCTTTTGTATATTTGTTACTGTACCCTCATCATTTGGTCACAAATTTGGTCCACAAATGTCCAATTTCTTATGCTGTTTTTGTTGCATGTGGGATCTTGGATATTCTCTGCAACTGACACAAATTCAGTACAAATCAGAAGAGGTAAGTGTGTCAGACAAGCTTTGCAAGAATAGAAATCTCCTCAAGGGAAGGATCTCTTACAGGTTTTATTTGTCACAGGGAGCAATTTTTAACCAGATGCAGCCAAAGTAGAGACTGAATCAGCGTGCTGTATTCACACAGCCACACAGTAATGTGTGCCTGCAGTCATGAGATAAACAAAATACAACATCTCACTAAAAATCCTCAAAATAAATCTTCAAAAGTCGTTTGGTTCTTACCGGATTCAAAATATTTGGTATCTCACAGAAATAAGCACGGCACATAATTTCACAGCTATGGAAGCAACTGTTTGAAGCATTAGTATTTTTTTTTCTTTGATGTTATCAGTGTCCCACTTTAGATTAAAAAGAGTTTATTTTAAAGCAGCACCACAT